CGATGAAACATACAACTTTCCTCTAGTTCCTAAATGCTTCCTCCCCGCTCCCACTATCATGATCCCAATTCTGCCTTACAAATCTGGCTAGACCAAAGGATGTACACCAGTTCAGATAGGAACTGGAAACCCAGGGAATCCAGGGCGGGTGATCCCTTCAGGACCACTGGTGTAAGTGGCGATACCAGGAGGGTAGGGTAGAGAGGGGGAACCGATTATAAGGATCTACATATAAGCTCCTCCCTGGGAGACAGACAACAGAAAAGTGGGTGAAGGGAAATGCCAGACAGTGTAAGGTAGCACAAAATAATTTATAAATTATCCAGGGTTCGTGAGGGAGGGGAGAGGGGGGACAAACTGAGGAGCTGATGCCAGGGGTTTAAATGGAGAGCAAATGTTTTGAGAATGATGAGGGTAAAGAATGTACAAATGTGCTTTATACAATTGATGTTTGTGTGGATTATGATAAGAGTTGTATGAGCCCCCAATAAAATGATGTTAAACAAAAGAAATTAAAGAGCTGGCCAACTTCAGAAATTTATCAAACATGCATATATTATCATGATTACTGATTTGGTATATGAAAGTTGGAAATAGGAAAGATATCAGTAGTTGGAAATTATAGAAGATAATTTTAAAATAATTACAGCTGTACATCAACAGGAAGCTTGCAGACATTCAGACTGGGTTCAGAATACGATGTGGCACAAAGGCTATTAATGACAATGTTAGGTGGCTCTTGGGTGAAAACAGGTAATTACCTGAAAGGTGTTTACTTGTGTTTTTTGAGTATGAAAAGGAAAGCACCTGTGTTTATCATTGACAAACCATCGATAACATTGAGAAGAGAGGGAATTCCAGGTGGCCCAGTGGTGAAAAGCAGGGCTACCTCGATAACTAAGCAAGGTATGCTTAGCCCCAGCCTCATAGCCTTGTGAAAGTTGGACATTGAATGAGGAAGATTGAAGAACTGTTGCATTTGAATGATGGTGTTGGTGGAGGATATTGAAATGACCATGCACTGCCAGAAAGAACAAAACCAGATCTGTCTCAGGAGCACAGCCAGAATGCTCCTTAGAGGCAAAGATGTCAAGATATTGTCTCACCTACTTTGGACATGTTATCAGAAGAGATCAGTCCTTGGAGAAAGATATAATGCTTGGTAATAGAGATGGGCAGCAAAAAAGGGGTGGGGGGGAGGCCCTCAACAAATGGACTGACACAGTGGCTCCCACACTGGGCTCAAGGAGAGGAACAGTTGTGAGGGTGGCGCAGGCCTGGGCGGGTCTTCTGTTCTACACAGGGCCGCTAGGGCTTGCAACTGACTCAGTGGCAGCTAACAACAACAGCTTAGAGGGAGCTGTAGAAATCGACGTCAGCAGTTTAAACCCACCGCTAAATCTACACGAGAAGTACGTGGCAGTGTTTGCCTGTAAAGATTGCCTAGTGACCTCGTTGGGGCAGCGCAACTCGGTCCGATAGGGTCACTGTGAGTTAGAGTCAACATGATAGAATGGGCTTGTTCTTTATGTCCGTATTAAAAAGAAACAAAGGCTTACATTTGACCATCTATTTTTCCATGTCAAACAACAGAAGGAAGAACAAACTAAACCCAAAATACAGAGTCAGAAAGCTTACCGCCATCGAGTCAGTTCTGACTGAGAGGTGCCCTGTAGGACAGAGGAGGACTGCCTCTGTATGTTTCCGAAGCTGTAGATCTTTAAGGGAGTAGAGAGCCTCCCACTTGGTCTTGAACTGCTGACCCTGAAGTTTGTAGCCCAGAGCATAGCACACTACACTACCCCAAAAAAGAAAGAAAATGATAGTGGTGAAAAAGGTCGCTGGGGCATCACAAAGGGCTGTGTCCAGCCACTAACGGAAGGGCTGGCCGTTGCAACCCACCTCACAGCACCTTAAAGGCAAGGTCTGGCAACCTGCTTCTGTCCAGTTTACAGCCAGGAGAACCCCATAGAGCTCAGCTCGACCTTAGCACCTGGGGGCATCATGAGTTGGAGTAGACTTGGCCTCCACAGCTTTAAAGGGTTCACCGACAGACCAACTGAACATCGGTATGCAGTGTTCTTTACTTTGATTTGTTTTACTAAATAACCTGCTACCTGTAATAACTAGAAATAAACTTAAAGATATTTTAAAAGACAATAAGGAACCAATTTATAGATGAGAGCAGGATTAAGTTAAGCTTAGTAATTACATTATTTTTAATATATAACGAGGTTTCGATTTCTTTGACTTCAAATCCACTTTAGCTTTCTTGTGTGCCTCTTGTAAAACATGATTCAACTTTGGGTTAAAATAGACGTGTGTAAAGCCCATGAGAACATTTTAAGTGGAGGGTTTGACGTGAGGGTTAAAATGGTGAGCAGCGGTGTGCACCACATGTGAAGACACGCATTTACTCGTGACAGTGGTGCCAGATGAATCTGCACGATGGCCAACTCAAATAGGCATAATCTCATCGAACTGAAAAACGAACGAGCACTTACACTTTTTTTTCTTCTTCAGGTTTATTGACAAGAAGGAAAGGTTAAGCCGACTTAAGAGCAAACAAGAAGAATTTCAGAAAGAGTGAGTTGAGTTTTGCTTTTAAATATGTGGAGGTTATTTGGTTTAATTCAGAGCTGAGCCATGCAGGCGCGTGGGTCTCGTTTATTCCCAGCTTCGTTGACGTGTGGGTGAGCTGCGAAGAGCAGTGCATTGGAGAGAGTAGAAGAGCAAAGACCATCAGGCTTCTAGAAAGCGCTGAGTTCATGCCTGGTACTTGTCTACAGTAGGCACCCACTGAAGGCTTGCCTGAGTGGATGCAACCCAGGGGCCTGAGCACTGATTGGTGGGAAATGGGTCCTGGAGAATGGGTGTGGTTAGACACATTCGTGGTGCTGACTTCTTTCTTTGGATCAGTGTTTTAGAATTCATTGAGATGATGATAGTGGGTCCTGTGACAGCACCATGAGTTGAGAATGCGCTCCACAGCTACTGACAACTACAGCCAAACCAAGCTCACCGCCATGCAGTCAGTCCGCTCTTCTCCTGGTGACCCAGTAGGTCCAGGTAGAACTGCCCCGGAGGGTTTCCTACACGAATTCTCCACTGGAGTAGAAAGCCTCATCTTTCTCCCATGGAGCAGTTGGCGGATTTGAACTGTTGACTTTGTTGTTAGCAGCCCAACATGTTTCCCACTATGTCACCAGGGCTCCTGGATAATTACGACAGCGGTTTCAAAAGCAGATTCTTGAACTTCAACCTGGATTCAGTAGGTTTGGAGTGAGGCTTGAGAATCTGCATTTTAAAAAACCAAAGCACCCACCACCCCTCTGAGATAGACTTTAAACCTTAAATGTCTTCTGCCCTCTTAAAACCAAAGTTTAGCTTAACTTGTGAGGACCACATGCCTTGGCCACTGTGTGTGCTTTTAAGAGCTGTCTCTAGGGTGAAGCGGACAGTAGCATCTATCTCTAAAGAGTAGACAGGAAGTTGAGCATGTATATGTTCGTGAGGGAGGGATGCTTCAAAAACGGAAGGTGGGAGTGGCGGTATTCAGTATCACATGTGGAAACTGTTGAACTGCTGTCTGTGCTGTGTATACTCTCAACAACAAAAATGTAATTGATATAAAATGAAAGTGTCCCTACACCAACCAGCCATGTTTTAAATAACTAGTAGGCATTAGCACTGGATGCTGACAGCGGTTGTAAAAATCTATTGCGGATACTTAGAACGTGCCTTTTTAAGCTCCATCTTGATGTTTCTAGTACTTTTGTAAGAACTCATTACTTAATAAATGCCTTTTAAGAGCTAATTTTCACTTGTCTCTTCTGACAGAGTACTCCGAGCTTTGGAAGGAAAATGGGTAACAGATCAGCTGGTAAGTTGTGAGAAGCATTGACATTAATATTCCTGGTACACTCGAGCTCTCCCATTTGTGTGACGCTTTGGCATCCTCTGGTGGCCTGTGTGCTGCTGTGATACTGGAAGCTGTGCCACCAGAACGTCAGATCCCAACAGGGTCCCCCATCACAGACAGCCTCGATGTAGTTTCCAAACGGGGCAGACAGGAGGCACAACCTGGCGATGTGTTTTGAAAAAGACTGGCCAGTGAAAATCTTAGGATAACCATGGAACCATGTCTGAAATATGTAGTCTTTATTTGATGAACGCTGTACGAGAGGTTGCTGCACCACTGTTGCTGCATGACTAGCGGAGTCATTTAATTTAGAAAATTTTTTACATAGCAAGATCTGAGGTTATCATGCCAGAACACTTGGTGCTGATGGGGAATAAGTGTATTGGTAAAGAAGAGCTTATGACCCCTGCTCTCCCTGCCCCATCCCTCTCACCGCATTTCCCTTTCCAGGGGGGAACTACTCCAGTTGTGTGTTTCATGCTTTTTCTGGAAACAGACCTACCATTTGTCGAGTGAGCTTGTTGTGTGGCTTATGAGTTGCTGTGATGCTGGAAGCGGATTCAGATAGTGGCAGGTTTCATTGGGGCCTTTCACGTGAAGACAGACTGTGAAGAAAGAGCAGGTTGCGGACCTCATAAAATGAGAAAGAGAGCTGCAAAGATGTACTAGTAATTGGAGCATAGAATGTACAAAACACATTGGGAAATTAGGAGTCACTGAAAATGAAGTGGAACACAGATTATTGTAGGGCATTAGTATGCCATTTTGAGTCAGGCAGGCGTTACTCTGCTGGGAACAACAGAGGTGGAATGAGAGCCACACTCATCATCAAAACGAATATCTCATGATGTACCCTGAAATGTAACTGTCGCAGTGACAAGGGACACCATTTAGTACTACTACTCTTAAAATTTATGCACCCGCCGCCAATACCGAAGGTGAGGAAGTGGAAATTTTATCAAAGAATGCAGTCTGAAGTTGGTTGTTGCTTCCTGGTGACTGGACTGTGAAAATTGGAAGCGAGAAGGTTAAGGAGGTCGGAAGGATCACCTTGGTGAAAGAAAGCTAGACACCAGGAATCGAATGAAGAATTTAGGCAGATCCTTTCTCAGCAGCACGGGAATGGAGGGATGCCAATGGAACATCATGTTTTCCTTCCATGTGCTTGTTCATATTAGGGTGTCCTAGAGGTGTTCCATCACTGGAGGGCGGGCTGTGTACTTAGTTTCCAGTACATGACACCCGGGATTGATGAACCCATAGGGACAGCAACCATCGGGTTCGGTAGGAGGGGGTGGAAGCGGATAAAAGGGAGATGATGTCAAGGAGTTCAAGTAGAAAGAGAATGTTTGGAGACCGTGGCAGCAATTGTACATTCTACTTGACGTGATTGAAATGTGGACTGGTATGATATGTATTAAATACCAACTAATAAAAGAAAGAAAGAAAAAAAATCTTGCTTTAACAAGGCGATGCTGTCTGTGCCAAGACATTGGAAGATAGCTACCTGGCCAGTTGGCTGGGAGAGATCTATGTCTGTGCTCATTCCAGAGAAAGATGAGCCAACAGAGTGCAGAAATTATATAAAAGCAAATCAATACCACATGCAAATTTTGCTCCAGATGATTTAGTAAGTGGTTGCAGTGGGGTATAGCCAGAAACCCCAGCTACATGTGGAACGAATAGCAAGGGACATCCTTACTGGTGTCACATGAATCTTGCCTGAAAGCCAAGAATACTTGAAAAATGTTTGCTTGAATTTTCTGGACTGTGTGGGTCACAACAAATTACAGATAGCACTGCGAAGAACGGGGATTTCTGTGGAACCTGTGCGTAGACCCAGGGATCGTCCCTTGAAAAGTGGATACTGCCGTAGTATCCGGGCAAGTACGCCCTCACTTCAGGGATTCCGTCTGTGCTGAGCGAGAAATCCGAGAAGCTGCAGTCCATGAAGGATACAGCAGCAGGCCTGGAGGGAGACTCATTAACAACCTGTGGTGTGCAGGCCTCACAGCCGTGTTTGCTAAAAGCAAAAACGGCTCGAAGCACCTCTTGATGAAGATGGAAGACGACAGCCCCCCGGAGAACAGACTGACAGTGTCAGGGATTTCCTGTTCTCACACTCTCGACCAGTGTCCATGGAAGCAGCTGTCGGGAAATCGAGGGATGCATTGCCCTGGGTAAGTGTGATACAGACGACCTCGTGTGAAGAGCAAAGGTGACTGAGGGTGCCTTACGATGTTAAAAAACTAACATGCTGAAAACGCCTAACATGCAGCGGACCCATGCCGTGGCATTTCCGTTCACCTCGTGTGCATGTGAGACCGAGCAGCGAAGGAGGACTGACGAGGATTGAGGGGCCTCTTTGAGTGTGGCAGTGGCGAAGGATTTTGTGTGGACTGCTGAAAGAACAAAGTAGTGCAGCCAGAATGCTCCTGACCAGTGTGGTTGGTGAAGCTGTGGCTCCTGGACATTGGACATATTATCAGGAGAGACCAGTGCCTGGAATCTTCACCAGGGCAGGTCGTCAGGTCTTTTATCCTGAAGGGCGAATATTGCGAATAATATTTTGCTTATACTATGGCATCATTTCAGGGATTTTCTTGAAAAGGTTTTTTCTTGATTCCATTTTCCACCTTTTGAAGCCTCTCATAACAGTAGTGCAATGACGACAATACTATTGCCTCTTGAGCCAACCAGTACCAACCGTTCAGAGCAGCTCGTGAAGAGACCATTCTGCTGTCTGACGTGCGGTTCCCGCTAGCCACCGTGACGCTGAGCTCGCGACGTGTGGCTGGTGTGCGGCGTGGACTGCCTTTATTTTACGCCCTCCTCGTTGAGGGGCGAGGAGACGGCTCATTGACACCAAGCACTGTGTGGCATTCTCTTAACTTCCTTTGTATGCTGATTCTGAATAACATTGAATTTTCTTCTTGTTAATCCATTAGAGCTATAAAGGCTGTGGAAAGTATAATTATATTGGTCTTTTCTTCATGTTTTCCAAGATATGCCCAAGATGTAGTGATCCAAGGCAGACAGACCGTATTAGCTCCAGGCTACAAGTTTAGTGATATTTATTTCATGCTTTGTTCCAGAGGTGGAAAATAATGTCCTGCAAAATGAGGATTGAACAGCTGAAACAAACAATCTGTAAAGGAAATGAAGAAATTAAAAAAAGTAAGTGATTTCTAGCCCTACCCCAAGGAGCCCTGGCAGTGCACATAGTTAAGTGCTTTGCTCCCAACCAAAAGGTTGGCAGTTCAAACCTGCTCAGTGGCTCCAAGGGAGAAATCTGGCCATCAGCCGCTGTAAAGAACACAGCCAAGAAAACCAGGGTGGCAGTTCTGTCGCTGCCACGTAGGGTGACTGAGGGGCAGTGGATCATTGGCCCCCTAAAAACAACAAAGACGACAATCAGCAGGAGCCCCAGTAAGAGGCTCATGTGGGGATTTAAGGGATCCATAAGCTGGAGGAGACGAAGGAAAGTGGGGTGGGGGGACCCCCACACAAAGGCAATGGTGTCATGGAGAGCCTAGCTTACCGTGTTGCCAGGAGGTGTTTCTGGAAAAACAGCTTGGTTTTGAATTTGGGTTTGTGTCTCCTGTTAGTTCTTAGAAGCCTTAGTGGTACAATGATTAAAGCAGTTATCTAACCAGAAGGCTGATGGTTCCAACCCACCAGTGGCTCCGTGGGAGAATGACTGCTTCTATAAACCCAGGGCTTTCAGTCTACTCAGCTCCACGGCAGTGAGCCTGCTTGTTTTCTTTTGAAGTGGTGTTGAGATCTCTGTTAAGATTGTGCAGCCTGATTTTGCTACACTAGCTAAATTATGCTATACCCCAATAACTCTAATAGCTCTTGGGGTCCAGAACTTGAAGGATCTTAGAAAAGGAGCCAAGTCTTAAAAGACTTGACTGGGTCTCTTTTCAGGTGGGTGGTGAACCCTTGCAGTGCTGGCTGGACAGCAGGTGTGCACCAGATTAACCCTGAACTCGTGGGGGCGCTGTATACACTGAGGTCTTGCTTTCCACTTAGGCGGCAGGGCCCCAGCAGTCTGCTGTGGGACGGGGTTCCCATATACCCACAGACTACGCGCAGAGGTGATTGTTGACTTTGATTTATTTTAGATTCTGAAGGCCTCCTCAAAACCAAGGAAAAGAACCTGAAGCTGTACAGTCGAGCGCAGCGGCACCAGGAGAAGAAAGAGAAGATTCAGAGGCACAATCATAAGTTAGGCGACCTGGTGGAGAAGAAAAGCATCGACTTACAGAGTCATTATGAGCGTCTGGCCAAACTTCGGCGATCTCACATCTTCGAGCTCACCTCTGTCATTTTCCCCCTGGAGGAAGTCCGGACTGGCGGGAGGTACTGTGAGCAAACCCTTTCCCTCTGAGTGCCCCACAGCCCAAGGGCCATATTCTTTTAGGCCGACACCTCTTCCGGGAATTGTTTGTGTCCCTGGGAACGAAAGGGAAGTCTTAGCTGCAAACAGTCCATGCAGCATTAAAGTGGGGGTGCAGCTGTGATGGAAGGCGGGCGTCTCGGGAAGGGCCCAGCTCCATGGGTGCTTACTGAGCTTCTGTAGGGGAAGCTGGGTAAGGACTACTTGGTGGTGTGGTTTCAATCAGAGCCGGGTGTTTGTTAGCTGGGTGAGTGGGTTGCGATCAAAGCCAGGCCTTTACTAGTGTGGTGCAAGGCAGGCTGTGACCCTTGGGTCTTCGTTCCGTGTCCCTTCACTGGGTGTAGTGCAGGCCTGCCCCACAGGATAATTATGAGCTGACAGAGAAGAAAGTGCTTGCGGGGCGGTGTCTCTCCCCTGATGTGGCCCATACGAAGGCTACACCCCCGCCACCAATGGAATTTTTCCCAAAGCTATGTATTTATATGTTTGTACAAAAAAACAGTATCACGTTCAAAGCATTCCCCGTTACACTCAATATATTTGTCAATCTGCAATTCCGTTGTTGGAAACATTTTTCAAATTCATCTGTCTGGATGGCTGACAAGTACATCCCTCTTTTTTTTTCTTCACCTCTTCTACGGCATCAAATCTCTGTCCTTTCATGCCCCTCCTCATTTGCAGAAACAAAAAGTCACACGGAACTAGGTCAGGTGAGTCAGGTGCATGGGGCAAGAGGGGCATGCTGGGGTTTTGTTTTTTTTTGCCAAAAAACTGACGCACCGAGATGGCTAGGTATATTGTCTTGCTGGCAAGACCAGTCCCCATCTGCCACAAATCAGGCCTTTTTAGTCACACACTGTTATATAATCTTTCAGAACCTCTAAATAGAAAGATGATTAACGGTCTGACCTGGTGGAACAAACTCCAAATGCCCTATCCCCCTCACATCAGCAAAGCTTTGCATCCCTGGGTGACACAAACTGTAAACATGATTGCTGTTAACCAAAGGCTAGTGATTGAAATCTACCCAGAAGTGCCTTAGAAAAAGCTCGGCCATCTCCCCAGCCGTTGCAAACCCAATGGGGCACAGTTCTAGACTGACCCACAGCGGGTTGCCAGAGATGAGAATCGGCTGGACCGCAATGGGAGCTTCTGGTTTGTCTTAAATCCTGTTTCCCAGAAGCGAGCACCGACTACCATGATTGTGTTCTTTGGCCGCAGTCACCTTAGGAGTCTCTGGTGACAAGTCGGCGGTTCTCTCTTAGCCGATGAGAAAACCTTAGGAAAAAGCAAGGTCCCAAGGCCACCTGCCAGCCTTCCGTCTTGTAGCATGCCCTTTACACCTCCCCCGAGGTGTGTGAGCAGGTTTGGAAACTGGCCCGGGAGGGTGGAGTTGCGTTCCCACTACCAGCTGGTCTCCTGGGCGGCTTTCTACCGTCCTCACTTCTGGCACCTCACCGGAACCTGGCAGCCACTGGCTGGAGGTTCATTTTCTCACTGTTCTTGCCCACCTCCATTCACTGTGGCCTTTGATCTGCCAACGGTTTTTCGCTTCCTGCACGGAAGCCTGCCCTGTGACTCTCTGTAAGTAATCTGTCACTAACAACAGATGCCAGCTTGAGGCTGGAAGACAGATTCAAAACAGCAGAACAGGAAGCCGAGAAACGGATCCATTGGGAATTTCATCTACAGTAAAGAGGGGCATTTTAGGTCATTGGGAAAGGTTGAATTGCCCCCAAATTGCCACTAACACAGCTGGGGGTGGGCAGTGGGAGGGGGACAGCTGTCCCATAAGAAAGGCACAGTGCAAATTTTGTTGGGTGACAGATGTAAACATGATGCAATACAATGGATAGATGGAGGCTGAGGCAGGATTCTGGGTTAGAGAAGCCCTGGCATGGTAGTGGATTATACCTTAGGCTGCGAACCAAGAGATCAACAGTTTAAACACCACCAATCAAGCCTTGGAGAAAGATTAGGTTTTCTATTCCTGTAAAGAGGTACAGCCTGGGAAACCCACAGGGGCAGGTCTACCCTTCGGGTCTCTGTGGGTCGGAATCAACTCCGGAATAGCAAGTAACAGCTGACTGCAAATGGCATTATCGGGACACCAGGATTATGGCTTGGGCGGCTAATCACAAGGTTGGCAGTTTGGAACCACCATTCACTTCTTGGGTGAAAGGTGAGTCTCCCATAAAGAGAACCCACAGACAGCTGAACCCCGTTGTAGTGGATCGCTGTGAGTTAGCATTGGCAATGAGTTTGTTTTTTTTTTAGTTTAGGACTTCCTCTTAGTGACCTGTTGTTCATTCACCTGATTCCAATCACTGTATTTTCCTGAATCGACTGGGGAAATGAGATGAAGTATGTACTTGGCATTGTCGTAGAGAACTAGTTTGTGTAGTAAGCACCAAGGAGAGACATGTGGAAAAACCGTGCTTTCCCACCTTGGTGGTTTAATCACACTGTCCATGCTTTAAAGGTTGGTCGGCCTGTTTGTTTTAGCGAGTGCTGTCGATGTGACTCCTCCGCACAGTTTCATGTTGGGTTGCGTTTCTCGAGTCTCCTCTGACTGGGATGACGGCCTTCAGAGCCCTGCTCCAGCTTCTTGCTGCCGGCCAGTGGGCGCGAGCTCACACGTGGGCCATGGCCCAGGGGAAAAGGATGGAGAGCCATGGCCACGGGGCAGGGCCCTCCTGGTGTGCCCCCCCCCCCTTCCTTTAACACTGTCTCCTGGGTCCCACAGCACACAGCAGTTGCACAGCACCCCGCTGCCCCTCCCCTCCACACAGTCGGACTCGCTCACACTTCTGGTGGTGAAGTCCCTTCCACCCTTCAGGCCTTGGCAGGTGCCTGACACCCTCTGCAGTCGGTGCGAGTGTTTGGGCGCAGTGCCCCTGCCCGACTGTCAAGCTGCTGCCCCCTCCTGTGGGTTTTCTTGGCTACGTCTTTGTGGCAGGGACCGCCAGGTCTTTCTCCCGTGGGGTGGGGCTGCTGGGCCAGGCAGCGGGAAGCTGCAGCATTGTGCCACCCGAGAGCCTTCCTTTGTTGTTGGCGTTGGCACTGGTCTCGCAGAGGCCATGGCATGGCAACGCCCTACTGGCTTTGACACAGGGCAGGGCTGTGGCACCAAACTTTAGTGCTGGCCACTCCGCCTTTGCCACCACACACCACACCCTCGCAGCTAGAAACAACAGATACATTCACCGGTCTGTGCTTGGTGAAGCCATGAATGCCCTTCTTCTGAACTATACTGTGCAGTAAAACAGTTCTTGGACGTTTCCACTGTTTTCCCACAAACGGGCGCCCTTGTGTGCGTCACGTGGTGCCCTGTGCTGCTGCTGGAAGCATGCAGAGGCTGTGGGCAGGCCCCTGGAGACGTCTGATGAAGCGGCAGCAGGTTACTAGCCAGCGGACTCGAGAGATAGGCAAAAACTAACAGTCCCGTTTTCACTCTTTTCCCCCATAAAAATGTGCTGTATTAAAAAAAAAAAGTGCTGTATTAGCATGTCATAGATTTATTACTGTTGAATGAGGTGGCCAGTATTTTCTTATTTTTCTCAGGTTTAATACTTAATATAGAATGTCTTCACACCAAAGTAAAGGCTCTTTGGACAGTTTGTGGGTGTGTGTGTAAAGTGGTGCTGAGACCAAGTAGTTGGAGAGCCAGTAGCTCAGCGTTGGTGGTCTGCACTGCCGTCTCCGGGAGCCTCTGTCTGTCCCGGCGAGCTGCCATGCTTCTGTGTAACCTTCTGGAAGTGCCTGGCCGGTGAGATCCCTGTGTGTCCTCTGGTTCCTAGAGATCCGGCAGATGTGTCTTCCGAGAGTGACAGCGCCATGACCTCCAGCACTGTGAGCAAGCTGGCCGAGGCCCGCAGGACGACCTACCTCTCTGGGAGATGGGTCTGTGACGACCACAATGGAGACACGAGCATCAGCATCACCGGGCCCTGGATCAGCCTCCCGAACAACGGCGACTACTCCGCCTACTACAACTGGGTGGAGGAGAAGAAGACCACACAGGGCCCGGGTGAGGCAC